TCGCGCGATCGCGAAGACTGAACGCGCTCTTATGCTTCATCTGAGGCTCAGCCTTAGAAGGGATCTCTTCAACACTTTATCGCTTACATTCTCCCCTCGGTTACAGTACCTCAAACATTCCACACGTGAGGTATAGTCTTGCTCGCTATGGATGGTGATGCGTATCCTAAAGGGGATTGGATTTGGCGCGATAACAGCCTGTTCTCCACCAATTGTTGAAGAGGGCAAGCGGCGCGTAGCAATCAGCCAAAGATCACATTGTTGACTGGTCGGACCGAGGGACTAAACCTGACAGGACTGTATTTAGCAAAAAGGTTTTCACAGCGCGATGATGTTTCGAACCCTGTGTTAGCTGTCTACCCCTCTTCGTATGCGGAATAGGGATTCTATCGACCAGGTAATTGCAAAGTGGGCATTTAGAGGCAAACGGTACGAGAAATCTGCAGGACTTGTGGGGAACTCAGCACCGGAAGAATGTAGTCTCGAGCAGACGCTGCGAGGACCTTTTCCAACTAAGGGTGCCGATTCGATTCATCGAACTTCATTCATGCCGCGTTCATGAAACAAAGCCATGAAATTATCCAACTTTATTTTTCAAACATTCTATAGCTAATTCAAGCTCGTGCCGAATCGACGAAATACTTCTAGAACTCCTGGAACTAAAGATTAGAAGAAGATTCGGCCGAATTCCTACCTGAATGTCCTTCTATCAATCTCATCCTCGTGGAGTGATCCTCGGCGTGAAGCAGGTTGAGCGCGTTACTCGCTCAGTCCAGTTCCGATTCTCTTGTTACATAAGAACGAGTTCCATGCCGCCCTTTATAGGATCCGCGCCCATCGAATATGAAAAGGTGCTCGAATGGTAATCGCCGCGACGCGACCGCTCACAGTCAACAGAAATGCTATTCCTTGTAGTTGTCTTGTATTAAGTTTCTGATGTAATATACAAAAATTAGGTAATTAGCTCTTTTATATTTGTTATGGCTAGGAATTCAGTCAATCTATGAATCGAATTGCCTGTTACAAGTAGATCTGGTTTTTCAGTTATGTCTGTTTCGTCGGGTAGCTCACTTTGTGGCGACCAGGATCAGGACCTGTTACTGGACGAAGAGGAAGAAATTGACTTTTATGCCATACTAAATGTTACCAAAAGACGTAAGTGATTTGCTCTAGCGCTTAATTTTCAATTTGACCTTTGAAAGCTGCAATAATTTTTTGGTGAAAGCGACTAGATCTCGCACTGTTGTGAAACTGTCGATGAATCCTGAAAAAGAACCCTCTGATGAACATGCCTGTTGTAAATTCATCTGCTCGAAACTTGTATTAGTTCAGGATAAAAACTGGGTTATTGTTCCACTAGCTTGCCAACCGTTTCGGTTTCAACATCACTTCTCTTCCATTGTTCGCAGAGGGGTCGATAGAGTGGAGAACTCAGACCATTATCGTCCAGTTGGGAGACAATATCAGCTGGATGGGATCCAGTATATTCTTTGAGGACGCTGTTGTAGCACAACCTAAGTTCGACTCCGCTGGGAGCTACGAGCGAGCAAGAGGATCAAAAATATGCACGCTTCGTGTCGCGCGCGGGACAGGGTGTCCTCTTAACTTAGCGCTAACCTTCGATTGAAGCATCGGATTTTCATGTAGTCAAGACATGATAGCTGCTTGTGTCTGTTTCTGTTCATACATTGTCTGTTCTCGACCAATACCACCTAAAATCGTCGCCATTAGCGGGCGCGATGTCGCACGCGAGGCCCATTGGTGTGGCAAGTTACGATTCTCTTGCTCCATACCCCAGGCCGACCCAGGCTGTGCTTACCTAGCAAGATGACATGTCATTTACCTCACATAACAGGTTAATGGGTTTCACACGGATTACCTGGCAATGTATAAAGTACAAATCTTTTGCCTATCGAAGCCTCATGAAGGGGCGCCGGCCTTATTGGAAGGGGCCCATGGCAATAGTTCACCAGGATATAGCTATCACCACATCGCAGTGACGTATTCACCGAAGCCCCCTCCGTGTCCGGGATATGAGTTGACCTCGATAAGAGAAAGCGCAAACGACCAGAGTTGGCATGGTTGCCTTACGCTTGATGCACGGCACCCGCCAACTTCCTAGATGCCTACCTTCCTATTTCCTTCCTATATTTTCCCGTCATTGGCGCAGTTGTGACGAGTCACCTCATTAACATGTTAGATGACAAGTCTCATAAAAGGCGGCGGAACTGAGCTAAATAGTCACAATAAGTCCAAACCTGACAATTGCATGTTGTGGATCGTTCAGTTACATTTCGCTAGTCCCTAAGTGACTCCTCCAGTGGAGAAAAAAATGCAAAAAGACCCCCCTCGCAGCCTCACTGTACGAGTTCGACGGACCTACTGGTCTTGTGCCGGCAAAACGGTATACTGCCGCCTCTGGCTCTCTAATACGCGTCGTCCAATGCTAATACCATATAACAGTGAAAAAGAAACGAAAAAACAAAAGTAAACTCATGACATTAGATAGCCTCTGGATTTTTATGACGGAGGGGCAACTAGGGATCCGTCGGAGCTGCCACGTATCAGCGCCATAGCTCCTCTCTTAAAGATTGCGGCTGGCGTTACGCTAGCGTACGCTGGTGACGCTGGGAACGCTAGATCGATATCTATCCTTTCCCCGACACTGCCGCTGGCGTACGCTGGAAGCGCTACGCTACGCTGCCGCAAAGTATAAACGCAGCCTAAGGACGAACGCTTAAGTATTGGTTGAGTGCAACGACTGTGAGCTCAGTCAGAGCGAATATCATCAGAATTCATCAACAGCTATTGACTTAACACAGCGAACGCTGTGTGCGCTGATTTCAGTGCACGTCTCTCAAGATTATTTTTCCTGGATAGACGCGCGTATGCAAATGTTCCCGTCAAAGGGGTCCTGTTTGTGGCACTGATATGATTTTGTGGGTTTTGGGGTTTCACTCGCGCTCGGCATCAATGGGCTAGTAAAAAACAGCAAAACCTCTCACTTATTCAAATTTTTGGAAAACCTACTGAGTTATTGCTCAACTTATTCAAGTCTTTTCAGGCAACGGAGGATGAAATAAACAAAGCCTATCGAAAACGTTGCCTTATCTTCCATCCTGACCGACACAACGATGAATGATGATAAAAAAGAAGCTGAGAAAATTTTTGTTCAACTTCGCCGTGCTCATGAAAGTATGTTGTCTGCATATTTATCCCAAGTACTCTAAAGTGTATTCCAAGCAGTTTCGAAGTTCTACGGCTCTTATTTCTTCAGCACTGCTAGATCCCAAAAAACGAGCGATTTACGATGCCCTTGGCGTGCAAGGCCTCGACACACAAGGATGGGAACTTGTCTCGAGATCTGCGAATCCTGAAAATATCAGACGAGAGTACGATTTCCTGCAAAGGTTGAAGGAACAGGAGCTAATGTTACAGCGAATTCATCCTTCTGTAAGTGCGATAAACGAGCGATCCTACACTGTTTGTCTTTATTACTTCTCATTAATTGTTTAGACTGGATTTATTGTGAAGACATCGTTAGCCGGTTTGTTCCCCGAGGATCCAGACGATAGGTACACAAGTTCGTTGTATATAATCGTTTTTATCATTACAAAACAT